TTACCCTTCGGGAAGAAAAGATGGAATCCATTTCAATGCCAGAACTTTTTCGCGCCTCGTGGAAATACTAGGGAATCATTTGAACAACATTTCACTTTAAATTAACAAAATAAATAATTTTTTTTTAAAATTAATTGCAGCGAATTTACAAAAGCGTTTGAGCCGACCATTGTCGCAAGCCACAAGCATCGATGCATTTCTTAGTGTAGGCCTAGGTATATTTATGACGATTTTGATGAATGTTAAAAAAAAAAAATATATTCATGGAAATCGTCAATTTAATTTCATTTGAAACGAAAGTCTGCTTTCTACGAATTCAAGATAGGTCACCTTACCACCTTATCCAGTCTGGAACCAAGTAGGGACTCTGTCAATATTTAGTTGGGTTACTCAACCCGAAATAGAACTAGGGCGAGTAGTCAACATGTCTCTCAGATGCACTGTCACATTTCAGGTGATGTGATGACATCACATAGATGATTGATGGTTTTGAGGTCCAAGTCTTTAGAACAAAAAACAATAACTTAATTCGAGTTGAATGGTATCCCCTTTTGTTAAAAAAAAAATGTATGTATATATGTATATTATATGTTATAAATATATGTATATATATATGTAAAAAAAAAAAAAAAAAAAAAATCATCATGAGCAAGTACCTTTATACCTATCACACCTTGTTACCTCACCTGGAAAATATTTAATTAAGCGGCTTCCAAACTCCAATCCAGCTTAAGACGGGTACAACCCCCCCTTGTCGGCCCATTAGCATGGCACCCGTGGGTGGTGATGGGATGGATAAAAAAAAAAAAAAAACCCCATCGTATCACTCATCCGCGGGACTAGTGCATACCCCTGGTATTTAAAAAAAAAAAAAGTAGAAATGCCAGCAAGGTGACACTGGTAGCCCGCGATGCGTCGTCGGGGAACATGGAATGGAATGTGACTAGTCAATAAATTCAAAGCCGCCAAGGTATCAACGTCCCTTGTCTTCACCCTCCTTACTACTTGCTCAACCAAAAAAAAATAAATAAATAAATAAAAAAAAAAAAAAAAGTTCCCCTACCATCAACTCGGAGGCCTCTCCCCAAATCAATAAATTGTTTGTTTTTTTTTTTTTTTTGTTGCTGCCCCCTTTGAACACCAAGATATAGGATTGAATTGCGTTTGTGAAACCCAAAAAAGGTTTCAACCGGGGTTCGCTTCTCCTCCATTCACCATAAGGTATCCGGGAAACCGAACGCCTTGGAGGCTCACCGTTGACTTATTGTCGCTGTATAGGGACAGTGCATTATGAGACAAGAGTTTGCTGGTTATTCCAAACTTTTTATGTATGGTGTCCAATAGAATAGGGTGGTTCCATGACAAAACAATCCTGCAATCCCATATTAACTCTCCACTTGTAATTACCTCCTAACATAAAAAAATCAAACGATAAGCAGATTTTCAGGGAAAGTAATTGGGTATGGGAAAATAGGGATTGTGGCCCGACAATGCGTCCGGTGCAATACGCTCAAATAATAAATTTTTTTTTATAGATTAAACAATTTTATAATTTTGTATAGGTACATAAAACACACACATAATAATTTTTTTTTTAGAACCAATCATACAGTTTTAGGATCGCCAACACCTTTCACCTTTTTTAAGTCGATACCCCCACCCCCCTCTAAGCCCCCAGTCTTCGTATTGAATAATATGCCAATTTATACTCTTGAGAATGTACCGAGCACGGTAACATGGATTAATGCGCTTAACGCTCAACAAGCAGTAGCTCAATGCGCTGCTTGGAATATTAACTCAGCCCCGACCTTAGAGGAAAATAGGTCAATTCTGAAGAATTTCGTGAGAAGTCTCAATGGAGAAAATCTTCAGCATAATGGCTCAAATGAAGCCAACCTTCAATCGCCAGCACCCAACGCTGAGCAACCGGTCACAACAAACACTGAAATGTCACCTACCGCTGTTGTCACGACAATCACTGGAACTTCACCTCCCACTGCCCCCATGACAACCACAACATTTACTACGACTACTCCACTAACTACAGCTACAACCAGTACCAACACCCTTCACAGTCCTTCACCAATCCTACACCCAAACATACAAGTCCTCATTCAGTCCTTGCAAACAATGACCTTGAACGCGGTCGCTCAAACGGCAAACACATTCACAGAACAATTTAAAGTAATTCATACGCCAAGTCAGAGCCAGACAGAAAATTTTAGTTGTCCGCCATACGTCACGGAGTTGCTAAAGGAGCTTCCCAGAATTTCCGGCGCTGATACTCGCGAATTGGTCACTTTCCTTAAGAAGCTACACCAAATCATACAATTAAATCTCGTCAAAGATAGATACATCATAATGAACATAATGCCTTATACGTCGAACCGTTTCAGAGAATTCTGGATGACAGCGATCGCACAAAATCTTTCATGGCCCCAAACACTACATAGCATTAGGGAGAATTTTTTCACCTCGGACACTCTGAGAGAACTCAAGAACCAAAATTTATATAGGCGTCAGCACCAACGGGAACACTTAGCCGATTTTGTTAAAGACATTCAAACCCTGCACACCATTTTGTCTCCTAGCACCCCTGAACAGGAAATTTTTCAAACCATTTTTAGAGGTATTAATCAGCAAACACGAACAACCTTTGCAGGCCTTAAGCCTATCACTTCAATTCAGGATTTACTTGATGTGGCCCCCCTGTCAGCAAGCCTGTTAGACCAATCAACCCAAAATCAACCAAGAGACCAGCAACCATCCACTAGTAGACCTCAGTACCACAGCAATTACCAATTTCGCCCAAATAGAGGCAACTTCTCAAATAATTTCCAGCACAGACAACCCCATTGGCAAACCAATTACCCCCAACAATATCATCAGACTCAACAATTTCCCAATCATTACCAATTCAATTCACAACCGCCCAATTTCCGACCCCAATATCAACCACCAAGTAACCCGAGTCGAGGATTCAACACGTATCCACGTAACACTAACTTCAATCGGCAGCCCAATCGTGAAAATCAACCATCTTCCTCTGATAGTAAGCGGAATTTAAACTCCACCAGGGGAGGTCATTAGGCAGCGCATCTCTCCGGACCATTCAGTCTGCCATACCACAAACTAAAGCCCTTCAGGCCTCAACCTCTACCAACACTAGCACACCCCAACAACAAAAAACCACCCAACCCAACAATAGTAACAACAACCTCAAAGCCAAATTAAATAAATCAGCCTTTGTCTCTCTAAAATTTCAGCATCAAATATCACAGGCTTTAGTAGACACCGGAGCATCATGCTCAATTATCTCTAAAGAATTTTTTGACATCATTAAGGCAATAAAAGGAGTGGTTACAGGTCCGCCAATTAAAGTTTCCACTTCAGCCACAACAGCGTCGTCAAGCTCTTTAAAATTTCAATTCAAGGTCAATCTTCACTTTAAAATTCAATACCTCTCATGGACATTTCCCTTTTACATCGCCGAAACATTACCAGTCAAAGTTATTTTAGGCGTAGATTTTTTGAAATATACAAAAGCAGTAATAAACATAGCAAAGCAAACCATCATTTTCCCATACACCCAACCTCTTATATTAACACTCGGCGAGGATTCACCACAGGAAATCAAACAACAACCAATAGGCCCAACCTTTGGTGACAATCTCACAAACGATCAAATTCGCAAACTTAAGAATTTAATTGAGCAGTTCCCCAATACGGTAACCAAGAAATTAGGAAGAACCAATCTCATCAATTACCATATAAACATGAAACCAGGTCATCAAGCCAAGTCCCGCCCATACCAATTTTCACCACCAAAAGCAGAAATTTTAAGACAACATATCGACGAGCTTTTAAAAAACAACGTTATTAGGGAATCCACTTCACCTTTCGCAGCTCCCGCATTTACAGTTCCCAAAAAAGGAGGGAAAACGAGAATGGTCGTCAATTACAAAGCCTTAAATAATGGGTTATCCCTAGAAGCAGTCCCTACCCCCACAGTTGAAACGGCATTCCAGTATTTAGGTAAGGCCAAATGGTTTACTCTTTTAGACCTCAATTCAGCGTACAACCAAATACCCCTCGATGAAGAGTCAAAGCCCTTGACAGCTTTTGTGGTCCCTTGGGCCCAATATGAATTTAATTATGTCCCTTTTGGACTGGCCAACGGTTCTATGGTACTCAACGATTTGATGAACAAAGTATTAGGTGATATCAAATTTAAATATGTTTTTTCTTTTTTCGATGATTTAGTAATCTATTCAGACTCCTTTGAACAACATGTTCAGCACATCCAAGAGGTACTTCGTCGCCTCGAACGAGCAGGTCTCACAGTCAATCCCGGAAAAATGGTGATAGCTTCGCAGGAAATCGAATTTTTAGGTCATCAAATCAAAAACAACTCCCTATCAATTAGCAACACTAGAACCAAACCCATAGATGAATTTCCAACCCCTAGAACACTCAAACAGTTGTCCAGATTTTTAGGTATGACCGCCTTCTATTCTAAATTTATCCCCAATTACTCCGAAATATCAGCTCCTTTAAACAAACTCAAAAAGAAGGGTGAAAAGTTCACTTGGGGAAAAGAGCAGGAAACGGCCTTCAATTCATTGAAACAATCTTTAACTTCGGCTACAGTCCTTAAGATGCCAAATTTTGATCTGCCCTTTGTCTTGCATACAGATGCCAGTAGAACTAGCATTAGTGGAATAGTGTCCCAAAGGTACGACGATGCACTTCTGCCAGTGGTATATGGTTCACGTCCCACAAACATACACGAGAAAAATTATAGTGCCTTCGAGTTAGAGGCGCTTGCCATAACTCACTTCCTCGAGAAATTCCGTGTATATTTAGAACACAGACATTTTGAGTTATATACAGATTCTAACGCACTAACCTGGCTTTTGAACCATCCTAGACAGGTAGGCAAGATCGCACGTTGGATCACACTAATCAATTCATTCCAATTCACAGTTTATCATATTAAGGGAAAAGACAACGTAGTAGCCGACTGTCTCTCTCGCATGTTCGAGGAAGGCCCACCCTCAATCACATCACCCGTAGCTTGTCCACCCCCAATCACATCACCCGTAGCTTGTTCACCCACATCAGATCACCCACATCAAATCAATGTTTTATTTAAAATACCAGACGCTTTTAAAGATATTAGGGAACATCAGTCAGAAGACACAGTTACACAACAAATCATTAAGTCATTGAAAGGAAAAAAACCACCACCAAACTATTCAATGGTAGACAACGTACTGACACACAAATTTCCAAGCCAAACCAAACCCAGAGTAGTTATTCCAGACCGATTAATACCACTTCTCTTTAAATATTATCATCTAGCCCCAACCACAGCTCACTTAGGCATCAAAAAGACTTGGTCTCGAATCGAGCAGCATTTTTGGTCCCCAACCCTTAAGGAAACCATAACCGACATGGTCAAAACCTGCACCTTCTGCCAACGATCTAAGCAAGCCCTAAATTCTAGAGCAGGACTCTTATCCTCCGAAGTACCGACAAGACCATTTGAAAAAATTTTCATAGATCACATTGGTCCATTACCACGTTCCAAGAAAGGAAATAAATACCTTCTCACAATTGTCGATTCATTTTCAAAATTTGCAATTTTTCTTCCGGCCAAGAACACAACGTCAGCAACCACAGTTTCACTTCTACGCTCAGGCCTCTTTGCTTACTTCGGCTTCCCAAAATATCTGGTGTCAGACAACGTTTCGTCTTTTACATCTAAAGAATTTTCAGACATGTGTCTTCAGTTAGGGATCCGCCACATAACCACCACTCCATACTATCCAAACCCAAGCCATGCCGAGCGAGTGAACAAGAATATCAAAATAGCCATTCGAATTTATCACTCAGATCATCAAACTGATTGGGACCAAAATATCCATCTTTTCCAGATAGCCTTTAATTCAGCCAAACACTCAAGCACCGGATATTCCCCAGCAGACCTTTTTTTAAGTTTTCAGATCAATCATCCATTAGAACTAAACTGGGATTTGGACCAATTACTAAATTACAACACAAACCCCCAAACAACCAGGGACAAATGGGTACAAGCGCACCAAAATTTAACTAAAGCACGAGAAGCCCGCGAAAGACAATACAATCAGGGAAGACACCCCCCATCCTTCAAGATAGGCGATTGGGTCATGTTTAGACTACACCACCAGAGCAAGGCAATCAACAAAATCAATGCTAAATTGCTTCCACTCTGGTCACAACCCGCTATTATACAGGCATACACGTCACCTGTCACAGTAATTTTAATGGATCCAAAGACAGGAAAGGTTGTGAGGCGAGCTCATGTCTCTCAGCTCAAGCACTATTTTCACCCGAATCAGGGACTTCCACGAACGACCACATCAATTAAACCCCCACCCACCCGTTAAATCAAAAACTCACGCATCTCATGAACCCTCTCAGCTGGTGATATTAGATTAAGTTAGGTTAGTCCATACTGTACAATTTTTCACTCCGTAGCACACACATACACACACAGGGTTGTGATGGAGCCTGCACCTGTCGCCAACTGTGACTAAGGTCGTGTTTCGCGTAGGCACGCCCTTCAGAAGGCGGCAGGGTTTAGCGATCGCCCATTACAACCTGAGCTGCAGCTCTCCTCCACGTCATTGGTTTTAGAGTAAATTCATTTTTTGCGCATATTTAAAATTATTTTATTTTCTTTTAGACCGTGAACTGTGCCTAGTTTTTTTTTTAACTTTTTTCATCTTTTAGCGCAGTTCAGGGGCTAATGACCGTGGGGAAGAGCGGATTGTTCCCCTCAACCTACTTCGAAATAGTTTGAGGATACACGCTCACCAACACTAACACACCAATCCTTACACAAACACATCTCTCATCTTCAAACCGGTAGTTTTAAGTAGATTAAGTCAGTTATGCGATCAACATGCTAACCTTAGGGCAGCGAACCTACATAAAAGCGCCCTACAGGATCATACACCTTTAAGAATTATATGTTTCATCGCATTGTTATAATTCAAACTATTTATTCATTGTTATTTGTTATTGATATTTATTTACTTGTTTATGGATTACTATCCTATTTGTATATTTATAATAAACTGTTTAAGCCCCGCCAACTAAGTAAATTGCCAACACTGGAACTGCAGTCTAGTGTAGCCATGGCAGCAGCCTTGCCTACCAAAACCCCAAACACTAATTTTTTGCCCCCTTTTAACCAGAAGTTCCAGGTCCAGCATGCTAGCTCCAGCTCCTTTTTTTGGGGAGCGGGGGAGAGCTGTGGGAGTAACCCACATCACCGCCAATAATTATATATATTGAGGTAAGAGTCAACCCCATCGGCTGATCCAAAGGCAGGCAGACAGCTCTAGTCGGACCGAGACTAGCGCTCCAACCGGAAAAGACCAACCGCCGGCAAGCAGGTTTGTCTGAGATCCGTCGCCGAAGAAGAAGGAGGTCCTGATCCTTGGTCAACAGTTGGTAAAGTACCGATAATGTCTAATTAATTGTAATCTTTTGGGGGATAAAGGGGGTAAGGGGTATCTTTTCTAAATTAGGGCAGGTTCAACCAACAATAAATTAACTGATGTAACTAAATTAACTTTACAATTATCGATATCATGTTTAGGGCAAGTTGCTGCAGGCGAGTTTCAATGGCGAGGGGTAGTTAAAATTAAATAAAAATGTAGTTAATGAATTTATTCACGACTTATCAAAGCTGGCTTACGCTGGGCAGGGTTTACGTGAGTGCTATTGGGTAGTGGAATCAGCACGATATTTATTAAATGTGGATCTAGCTGGGTTAATTGCAGTCAAGACCCCACATGTATTACTCATAAAATCATAAAAATCATAAATTTATTTCTCGAATAAGATATTTATTTCAACGCTGCGGGGCAGCATAGGTCCTCTGGTGTAGATTGAAAACAATTAATAAATTTACCTCAAGAATAATTATTCGACCACTAATTCTTTGTTACCTGAGTACCTGTATTGACATTAGTAATACAGAATTTTAATTTATATGTAGCAATGTAATTTTTTCTAAAATAAACATTTCCTACAGTCAACAATGACCTACTTGCAACATAGCCTGTAGCCAAACATCAGATGTTTACAGCACAGACTGTACTGTACTGTACTAGCAGATGTTTTCTGAGCATACAGTAGGCATGAGAGGGGGGTCAGATCCAAGGAGCCTACACAACACAGCTGTCTCTAGCACCACCACTACACATTACACAGTAGGCCTACACACCCACAACACATCACATAATTTCCCATTGTTATTTCCACATTGGTCAATTAATTTGTGGCACATTGACTTGCACCAATAACAACAATTAAATGATTTATTTCAGCAACAATTGAAACAGTTGGTTTGGGGTAACACCAACTTTTATGATGCTAGAGTGGTGTGGTTGTGATAAACATTAACATTAAAAGGCAAAAAGTTAACTCTGTTTCATTAATGATGTAGTTATTGTCCAGGTTTATTTAACACTGTAACTTCTCTTACAGTTAATTCTAAACCAAATTAGTATAATTCAACAAAGGTTGAGATAACTTAGTTTCCAATTCACATTTGGAGGAAATAAATTAAAGGTTAAAATACCTGATTTTCGCCTTGTGGTCAAAAGTATTAAGGACAAATACTTTCGACCACAAGGCAACAATCAGGTATTTTAACTTTTTAATTATTTGTCAATCAATTGATTGGTACGGAATCATTACACAAAATATGAAGAAGATAGGTCTTTATGTTCCCGAAGGTAATATGGTGATTGGTTACAATCAGAACTGAAAGATTAAGACAAAATTAATTTGAACTACGCTTTTTAATGTTCTTTAAAAAACAAAATTGTAATTGAGGTAAAGATTCGGGTCGGTACAAGCCATAAGACCTACTAAGGAGAACGAAATTTCCACCTGAAAAGTCATTAAGTAAAAAATATATCACCGCAGCAAACCTGCAGAATAAGCTAATATCCATTTATCTGATTGTACAGCATATTCACTAAAATATTTCCTTAAAAATGTAAATTTTATATACCATTTAATAATATTAATAAATTAATTTTAATGAGTCTAATATCCATTTATCTGATTGTACAGAATTTTCATTAAAATATTTCCTAAAAAATGTCAACTTTATATACCATTTAATAATATTAATAAATTAATTTTAATGAGTAGGCTATTTAGGTAAGTCATTAAAAATAGAATTGTTTTCTGACAGCCATGGAAAAGAACTCCCTGAAATGATTAAACACTGTAGCAGAAGTGCAGTTACAGTTTGTGGTCAAGTCATGTCCGGTGCTACAACTGAGAAGATTTATAACCAAGCAAACAGATCTCGACATCAGTCATTAGTAATAATTGCTGGAACCAATGATGTAATCAAAAAAACAACCTCAAACATCTATAGCAATTTGGAAAAGTATCTGACACAACTAAGTAAGGATAAATCATCTGTACATATTACCACAATACCAAATCGCTATGACATAGGCTTAAATGATCCGCGTCATGATGATATCAACTTATTAAATAGTTATATCAGAGAATTAGCAATAAGAACAAACAAAGTGCATCTTATTGACCTGGATGAACTACAAAGATTTCATTTTACACGTCATGGACTACATCTAAATCATAGGGGGAAGAAAAAGCTATCATATATCATTATAAATTCTATTAGGCCTAACAAAGAAATATCAAACATAAGAGGAAAAGTCAACCATAGTCTACCTCCAATAAGTATAATTCAGACAAGCATGAAAAGCATGATTAATAAATTTCAAAACGACGAATCTGTTGGCTTTGCTCACACCATATCTGCAGACCTGGAACATGAAAGGAGTCTAAGTGCTGGTGTGGCAGTTACCTTCCGTAAGGAGTTTGGTAAACCATTGCCCTCAGACTGCCTAAGCAGTCACCTAGCTTATCAGAAGACTAATAAGGGAGCTAGTGTCTTTAGCTTAATAACAAAACCAAAATACTATCTTAAACCTACAAACTACGATTACGACTATGCTTTCCAACAGTTAACTGAGGAATTCAAGAAGAAGAACCTTAAAGTGCTTATTTGCTCTGCAATGGGTTGTGTGAGGGATCAGGTGTGGCCAGATCACTTCATCAGGAATCTGGTTCAATTTCAAGAGGCAACCAAAGCATCTGTGCAAATAATCTGCTACCATCAACACTCGAACCACCCATTACACAATGGTGTTCCCTACCAATACTTCATCAAACGCTTACAGCAAGTTATTGATCATCATCATGAGCAGGAGTCTTCACCAGTTAATCAAGAACTTCAATTGGCTTCAGTTACTAGGACTAAAATTGTAGAGGAATCCATGGAACACTCATCTGCTATGGAAACATCCTTAAGTAGCCCATTAAACGATGACGTGTCAACCCCTTCAGCTTGTAGAACCTCTACTTCAGACTTGAGATCACCAGGATCAAGTAGCTGCTTCTTTTGGCCCAAGGAAAATGAAAAAATGACCCAGCCTGTGGAGGAGTCACCAGCGCCTGTGTCATGTGATGGGGGGCTGTCTGTCAGGGGTTGTGATAGTGTTGGTGCAGTGAATGAAGTACCTTTAAATTGCCAATTGTTCACTCCTGTCTTGAATTCCCTACCCCTAACCTGTGATTCTATTAATACATCATGTCATAATGTAACCACTTTTTTAAGAAAAATAGGCCAAGATCTAGCAACCAATTAACACATTCTGTAAACAGCACTCAAAACTTTCTAATTCTTCATCAAAATATTCAAAATTTATCAACCCGTATAGGCATTTTGGAAGTAAACTTGGATGAAATTAAGCCAGATATTGTTGTTCTAACAGAAATTAACATGAAAGAGACAGATTTGTTTCATTTTAAACTGAAAAATTATAAAATAGCATCCTATTGGACCAGATCTTCAACCACTGGGGGTGGTGTTCTAATACTTACTAGTAACTATGTAAATTTTAAAACAGTACATATTAAAGGAATTCAAAAACTTATTTTGGAGAAAGAATTTGAGTGCTGTATGACTGAAATCATACTAGATGGTATGTCGTTTATATTGTTAGGGTTATATAGAACTCCTGAATATAAATATATCCAACCTTTCTTAGCAAAACTGGATATTACTCTAGATTTATTAACAAAAAGGTTCAAGAACATCATATTAGCAGGTGATATAAATATTAATGTTTTAAATCATGATAATGTGTACCATCAATTTTTAAATATCATAAATATATATAACATGTCTTATAGGGTTGACTTTCCAACTAGGATTACTGATAAATCAGCTACTGCAATTGATAACTTCATTACCAGCATTTTTGAAACAAAATTAAATGTCTCAGGCGTTATTACTCATGTATCTGATCATGATGCTCAATTGCTTGAAATACAAAATGTTAACAGTACAAACAAAAAGGTAATGAAGAGGTTATGCAGAAAGTATACTGAAAATAATTTTAAAATGTTCCTTAGGGACTTAAGTAATGAACACTGGTATGATGTTTATCAATCTTCGGTGGATGCAAAATTTAATGTCTTTATGTCTACTTTCAGTCACATTTTTAACACTAATTTCCCCAAAATGATGTGTGTAGAAAAAGTATCAAATATATGTAAATGGAATTCAAATGAAATAATAAGGAAAAAAAGTGAAATCCATGAACTAGTAACATATACTAGAGCAAAAAGGAATTCACTGTTATATAAAACAATAAAAGTAAAGAAAAAAGAGTTAAAGGAATCCATAAACAGTGCTAAACAAAAATTTTACCAAAATAAATTTAGAAAATCTAGGAACATAACAAAGACTACATGGAATA